TAATTTATTTATTAATTTATTTTTTATTTTTAATTAATAAAATGGTTTGTTTTTCCCTTTCAGTGCTGATACTTGGATGCATCTTTTTTTCTTTAAGTAGCTGATTCCATTGTGATTACTTTTTATTTATCCTAATGTCTGTACTGTGCTGCAAAAACCTCTGTTTTCATAAATGGGAGAAAGCATCCTGGCAACTGACAATCTAAAGAATCTAACTTCATTTAATGGAATACATACATAAGTTTGGGCTAACTTGTAGGAGATTCTTGACATTCACAAAGTACTGTGGTGCAAAGCAATGCTTCGTATGCAACACAGTGTGAAAGCTTGAAATTTGTACCTTTGTTATGGGTAGATGGGCAAATATCATATTCTTCTGTATTTTAGTGACTTGTATTGTGCCTTTTGTATCGAATTTAGTCTGTTTAAGAAATAGGTTTGTGAGGAAAGGTCTAGAGAAGAGAGATGATCTTACAGTGTTATTAATATTTTCTTTTTAATTCATTAAGCTAATTATGTGTTTGATTATCTGGTTTATATCTGCAAGGAAGTGCCTCACTGGTTTAATGTTTCCTGCCCTCCCTGTAGGTTTGCCTTTTGTCACTGCTCCAAATAAGTTTGAAGCTCTTGCAGCTCATGATGCTCTAGTTGAACTTAGTGGAGCTATGAACACAGTGGCATGTAGTCTGATGAAAATAGCTAATGATATTCGTTTCCTGGGTTCTGGACCACGCTCTGGACTAGGAGAACTCATCCTCCCTGAAAATGAACCAGGAAGTAGCATCATGCCAGGTACAGAGAAAACATACAGAGAAAATTGCCTCTTTCTTTTGGTTTGGACCACTAACTCTTAACTGATATTTAGCAAACAAATGTCAACAAGTCCATGATTCAACACTTCTGTCAGTTTTTATCTTCTGCCATATTTTACCAAAATTTGTGTTCATAAGAATACTTGCTGGCACAGCTGTTTGTTGGGAAGTATGTGGTGGAGAGCAGTATCTGTAAATGTATCATATGACTTTACTAATACAAGCATACTTCTCAAAATCTTCTTTTAGAAATGTAAGGTCTCTACAATTTTTGTGTAAGACTTTTCTGAAACGAGCTTTAAATGATCTAATCTATGAATTGTAGCAATATCATGATGTAAATTGACTTCTGTCTTTGCTTCCTAGCATGATAGCGTTACGTACTCAGATGTTCTCTTCTGCAATGATCCCAGTGTATGGGAGGATAAGAAAGGAAGGAATAATATTAGTAATCATTCCTTGCCTCTCTCCTAAAAAAAGTATGTGTATGTGAATATTGTACATCCAAAACTATTCTAAGCATATTCTTCCTGTATGATAAATTATAAAAGAAACAGGTGGTGAGCATATCTGGCTTTCAAAAAAACCAGATAATGAATGTTCTTATTAGGATTATTTCTAGAAATGAAAGCAACCGTGAAACTTTCTTGTTAGGAGGCCACTCAAATTTGTTTGGTTGCTTTTTTTCTCCTGATAAAGTAAACAGAGTGTATTAATTTTATTGCAAAGTAATTCTACCAAATGAAGTTGACTGAGATTTGGTAATGATTTACCAGAAATGCCTACTTACACGAATAAAGACAAGTTATAATCTCTTGACTATTAAGAACTGTACTAATCAACACCTGCTTAGCTCATGCACATTTTACCCAGCTCTCAAAGTCTTGGTAGATTGCTAAAGCAGCCATAGCTGCTTTAAAAATCGTAGCTGAATTACTGGAATAGTACAGTGAATTTAATATCATTGCTAGAATTATTTCTCTTCTGTGGTGCACAGATACAGATGAGTAAGACATGTTACCTTCTACAAAACATCTTCTGTTGAATGTGATTTGGTAAATTAAGGAAGTACTGATATTTTGGGTTTTTTTTTCCTTCTTTGGTAACCTTTTTCTCTCCATTCCACAACCAGGAAAAGTGAACCCTACCCAGTGTGAAGCTGTAACCATGGTGGCAGCCCAAGTTATGGGAAACCATGTTGCTGTTACTGTTGGAGGTAGCAATGGACACTTTGAACTGAATGTTTTTAAGCCAATGATGGTAAGTTCATAAAGTTTTAAATATCTAGGACTTTTAAAATCATTGTTTGTACAATCAGATAACTTGGGAAAAAAACCTAGGCAAATAATTGGTCAATACAAGCACCCAGAGAAGCTGAGAAAAATGTGAGAACAAATTTTACTCTTTTGTATAGTCCTTGTTACTTTGACAGGGAACTGGCAATGTTTTTTACATGAAACTATCTTAGCAGATAAGCTTTTATCGTAAAAATGTATGCTGATAGGTCTGATATCAGTCTAAGGAAGCAGGGAGAGAGGAACACAGAGACAAAATATTGTCCCAAGCTGAAAAGAATGAGGTATTTTAGCTAAAAATGAGGATTCTTTTTCTTTAGCAACTATCTGTTAGTTACTAATTTCTGTTACTGCTGAATACTAAAGGATTACATGCTTTTGGTAAGTGAGTCATGTAAAATTGTAAGTGATTAGTCTTAGACTTCAGTATTTAAAATAATGTCTGCCTTTCTACATTGTGAGCAGGATACACCAAGATACATACTGTGTGTAAGATGTTGAATGAATAGTGTAGCTGTTAGTGTAGGGATGACAGTTTAAAAAGAATGAAGGTGACTTGTGGAAAAAATCCTAATATTGAACAGAAATAAAGTTTTTGACATTTCATCATCGTCTTGGAAATAAGAGGCACAAAGGAAGCAGCATGTCATATATTATTTTTCTACACAGCCAGTACTGACTGATAGTGCTTTTTTATTATGCTAGTAAAAAATGACTGAAAACAAGTCGAAATCATATAATAAAATCAGTACTTGTCTCTTCCTTACTGTGTCTGTTTAGGGTACTGTTTTTTTCCTCTCCATCTGAACAAACTTCTAAGCATACAGCACCTGTTTTTTAAACAAAAAAACACCCAACCCTATTGAACAGTCAAGAGATGTACCTAGCAGAAGATAAATTTTGATAGAAACAGACACCTCCCTCCCAAAGAAAAAAAGAATGTCATGTTACGAATTGTCCACGTAGAGGATTAATGCCAGATATTATTGTACTTCATATTTTTATATGTCTTCTCTTGATTGGTACCTGAGGGGGAAAATGAATTAAGTGCCTTCATGTATTTTTACTTGGTTATTTGTGAACTGTTATAACAAAATGATTATACATACTGTGGTCGTCTTAATGCAAGAGTTCTGCTACTGAATGCTTCTCACAAATTCCTTTGAATAGGAGTGGCTGAGCTTACCCTGCAAAAGGAGGAGGGTGTATTATTTACTGTACTCCTTTTCTACAAACAGCCCGTGAAAGAAGTGGATGTGGTGGGGGAGGCACTGGTTATGAAGGAATGTGCCAGGCTGTGCAGCTATTAATGTCTGAATGTAATAGTTGGTGTTTCTTTCTTTTTTGTTAGATTAAAAATGTTTTAAACTCTGCAAGGCTTCTTGGAGATGTTTGTGTTTCTTTCACGGACAACTGTGTAGTTGGAATCCAAGCGAATACAGACAGGATCAACAAACTAATGAGTGAATCTCTGATGTTGGTAACAGCGCTTAATCCACATATAGGTAGGTTTAAGGCTCAGAAACTTCTCAAAATGTTTTTCTGAGGTATTTTGCAGTAACATTATTTTGCACGTTATTTGCATTGTCACAAGGTTTAGGAGACCAAGTCATGGCTCAGGTCAAAAGTTGATTTAATGTCACCAACTACTAATACTGGTGAAAAAGATGTGTCCTCCTTGCAGTGGCCACAGCAGCGCATTATAAAAATAATTCTGGTGAGAGTCAAGGAGGAGGAGATTGGGAGAATTTGTGTACCTGTTGTCCTGATTTGACCGCTAATAATGAAAAGTGAAAGATTACGAGATCTTTTTTTTTAAAGGTCATATAAAACTTTGATCTAAATGCATTAAGACCAGAAGAGCAAAATTTACTTTCAGTTTAAGTAAGGCGTTGGTGTAAGCGTTTGGTGCGGGTTTACTGCAAACTGAGTGCAGCAGTAGTAGCAGGATCTGGCAGATCAACTCGCCAAAGGCCAGGTGGCCTCCTTTTTTCTCATCTCTGGCACATCTTCTGAGACTGCAAGGGGCTAACTTGTTGGTTTTGGTTTTTTTTTTCCAGGATACGATAAAGCAGCTAAGATTGCCAAAACGGCGCACAAAGAAGGGACAACGCTGAAGGAAGCTGCTCTAAAGCTGGGGTTCCTCACCTCGGACCAGTTTGACCAGTGGGTGAAGCCTAAAGATATGTTAGGTCCTCAGTAACTTCTTTAACACACAAAAAAAGTGTTCTTAACATAAAAAAATAAATAAACCAAAACAAATACGGTACGCTTTTGTCTGACGGCTGGCTCCCGGCTCCCTCAGCGCTGCCGGCCCTTTAAATAGGTTGCGGTGGCGCCCCCTGGCGGGCAAGCAGCGCTCGCCGCCGCGGAGGGGAGGGCGGAAGCGGGGGTTGCGCCGCTCTGCGAGTGCTTCCGGCTGGG